GAAATTATCGCGCAGAGTTGTGTCGAGATATAGTGTGTACGTGTGTGTGTAGAATTTCGCGATAGTCGTAATTGTAAAACATCCACCCTCGGATGTTTCCCGCTAGATTTACAGCCTCCACAGGATCGTTTAATCTTAACGCACAAGTACGCTTCATCACGGTTGATCAACGACGTTTTAGTTGATCACCTGTGACACGATAACTGACTTTAATTCGCGATTCGTAATATTTGTTTCATTTCTTATTCATTTTAATCGTGAAACATGCAGTGGAAAAGAAATTTTTCATTTTGCATTTTAAATATCGATTCGTCTCGTGTGTGTATTAATATTTATTTTTAAGTTTGCGTTTTGATATTCTTTGTATTTCGTTTATATGACGAAAAATCAAAGAAGATACCTGCCCAAAAATCGACAATTATTCTCGGCGCAAAATAAATCAAGAATGCGTAATTGTTTAACTAGTATAAGGATCCGAAGTTCCGAAACACCCTGTACGTTTTGCCGAATGCACAGCGCGCCGTCTCGAATGTTTCGCCAGTGAATCGATCGGACATTTTGACAACAGAGTAAGCTAATCGGCGAATTAGCGATATGATTCTACGAAGGATGCGGGGATAGGACAACCGGAGGATTCGAGTTATACGACGACCGTAGGACTGTAATGACGCATGCAGCTGACGACGTTAATGGAAGGATTTCGGGATCGGAGCTTTCTCTCTACGTCCGTTCGTCGGACTAATTAACCTCGTTATATCGCCGGTCCGACCAACAGAACACTATTCCTGTTACCGATGTAACGATCGTCGCACCTCCTCACAAATCGACGACCATCGCCGAGCGAGTTTAATTAATCTAATGATAGTCTCCGTAGCATCTTTGAGTGACCGATGCAACCCAACGTGATATAAATGCACCGAGAATGTACAGAGTGTATAGCTTACCGTGTTATCCTTCGGGCGACGTAGTTTCTCTTATCGAAGAAAATGTTGGTCGTGTAAATTAAAAATTGAAAAAATCTAAAATTTCTCTTCTCGCGTTTAGTATTTTCTCTGGAGTGCAAATCAGCTCCAGGGAAATCGATCGCCCGAAAATAACGCGGTGAAAATGGAGCACACGTATATCGTTGCAAATGAAATTTCGTGAAATTTACAGCTTTTTTCGAAAAATATACAGTTGGAATTAGATACCGTAAATATTTTTATCCAATCCTATAAATAAATATCGAGAAATGAAAATGGATTTCGCCAAAAATCTAGCCCGCAAGAGACCAGAGGTCATAAGTCAATGACAATTGATCTCCAGCTTCATTATGATGCATCTATTCGAACGAATGTTTCCGTTATTACGGTGTCACGGTTGACGATCGATGAATCTGATCGAAATACGAAATGCCGTTATACATAAAAATTGAATTTATTCAATGCAACGCCCGATGAACGTTTCGAAAATTCATTAAGATTTTATTTCCGTCGAGCGAAACGAGATCCATGCATTTCAATATATTCGATTTATTCATTTTATCATTTTTGTCAAAATGATAAAGTATCAAGGGGTAAGATATTTCGATCACAAACAGGATACTAACGTGTACAAAATAAATATTGGAGTGAATACTACGCTGGTGTAAAAAGTCTATTCTACAGAATAATATTCAAGATGTCAAGTTTTTATATTTCACTATTTTACTACAAAGTTGCATTTATACGATATCGATGAGGGGAGAGAAACCCGAATATTTTAAAGATAACAAACCTTCACGAAATGGCGTCCAGACGAGAGACATTAACCGAAAGTAACTCCGCCTCGATCAGGTGCCTCGTCATATTGTCTATTACTTATCGATCCGACCGACGAAATTAAGTTTAGCCGATGAGGGTGAGGGAAAAAAGGCTCGACGAGATACCAGAAGAACGGGACGAGGGGAAGAAAAAAATAAAAGGTGAGCGGAAGAGAGGCGAGCGGACGAAAGAGGAAGTGTTTTAAACTGTGTGCCAAGGGAGCGAGAGATGGAGGAGAATTTGAGAAGAGAAGACGGGAGAGAAGGTGGGAAACGACCTGGTGGTTGAACGAGAACTTGGATATCGCGGGAGTTGTCTATCGAGAAGCGGGACGAGAAGCGAGAAACGAATCGCACCCGCTCGTGGAATTTACCGCATTTAACAGCGAACGAGGTGAACCTCCAATAGCATCGACACCGGGATTCCAATTAGCCACTTTAGCCATTTCCCGACTCGCGGAATCGAATTCCATCCAGACTTTCGTCTCGACTTTCTTCGCAAGACGTCGCGTCGATTTTTCGAGGAGGAAACTTTATATCCACGATTACATCGAATGTACATCAAATGTTTACTGAAAAATTCGAAATGATGTTTCTCGTACATTTTAACTCACACGACAGAAAATTTATTTAATATTTTCGTTACTTAAACTTTTTTCCATACAAGAATGCTTTCCTTTTCCTTTCGAAAAAGAAATACGTCGCGCTCATTTCCGAAAGATATCCTCAATTCCACAAACATTACAATTGCAAACGCAAAAATTAATGTAACTTTACGCAGTTAAATGCGCTAACAAACTTGTGTAATTTAGCAGATATCAGATCCATGAAATCGTGAGCGAACCATCAATTTTCCAAGTCCTCCTCTCCTTTCTCTCTCATTTTTCCTAAAAGAAATAAAATTTAGCAAAATCGGAAAAGCGATTCTACTCACAAAACGACAAATCAAAGATCGAAATGACAAAACAATCCAGATAATTTTATCAAATCCGTTTTCTCCCGCTCAACTTTGTCGTTGCCCGACCCTACTGACTCGTTCTCTCAACGAAGATGAAATTCCAACGGATGGAATTCCCTCCGTGATGCGATTTCTCGCGTGCAGCAGAACGCAATCGTTAGACATTTGTGTAAAATAATAACGACAGGATCAATCTCCAATTCACGCGATTCCTTTCTTCCAATTCCCTTCGTCCAATACTACTCTGCTTTCTCCGACGATATTTCACTTCCTCGCGCAATAACAAGGTGTTGCTGCATTTATCTCGTCTCTTGTATTTTTCTCTCTATCTCTCTCTATTTTTTATTTCTATTTTCTCGACGATACTTTTCCTCTGGGTCCATCGTCGACTTCCTCAACTCTGTCTTACGAAGAATGCTCCTCGCTGTCTCACGTCTTGTGCCTTTCTCTGCAAAACGAGCTTCCGTCGTCGGTGAGAAAAAATTCAGCTTCCCTGTGACGCTAAAGAAACCGGCAACACGAGGCGATCCTTCATCGTAATGTCGAGGAAACTCTGGTAGAAACACACGCAGCGTGAACGAAAGAATCGTAAGTAAAATATGAATGGAAATACGGCGCGCGATTAATGTAATATAGTCATAATTTGTATCTTTAAGGTATACATCTTTCCTCCGGAGCGCATAAGATGTACACTTTGTGAAATGTATATCTTATATATTTGTGTGTGTGTGAGTAAACTATTCTTCTCGCGCAAAATATAATTTATATCTGTAAAACATATAATACAGTTTTATTGATTTATTCTAATTTATAAGCAAAATGTTGATTTAAAGTGTAAAAAAATTGAGAATTTTTTATTTTTTCAAATAAAGCTACCCTTATAAGTAGTGTATATTCACATTTCAAATCCGATAAGAATTAAAATAAAGAAGCAATTTCTTTCTACGAATAGCTGGATGCAAATTTCCAAAGAATAAATTATCGACAGATTTTTTTATTTCTTTCTTCGCGAGAAATGACACGTTGCAAAACCTTGCGTGTCGCTCGATTACGCGGATTATTTCCGGCAACATGAACACAACTTGCAGGACGCGTGACGTCGAACGTAAACCATGCGTTATTGACAGGTGAATTTAATATAAAATTATAGAAGAAAAAAGGGGAAAGATGCCTTTCGCGTGATATTATTTTTTTCTAATTTATAAATAAAATATCTATTTAAATTTTGTAAAAAATTGAATTCTGCAAGACCTCTTCAAAAACAATATAGATACTCATAAGCAATATCTATTCATTCCAAACCGTATAAAAAAATTGGAGTAAAAAAGTTATCTCTTCTATTTCAAACAGCTAAAACGGACACAAATTTCGGAGGAATAAATTCCCGATGGATCTTTTAATTCTCTCGTCGCGAAAAATGATGATATGGAGCAGAACGTTGACGTGTCTCTCGCTGGATTACGCGGATTATTTCTGGCGGTGCCCGATAAAATTTGCGGGACGCGCAACATCGTAACGCGAACGTAAACCGTGCGCTGTTGACAGGTGAATTTAGCGAAGGGGAGAGAAAGGGAGGTGAAATGGGGAGGAGAAGGGGGGAGGAAAATGTCTCTCGCGCGCATAGCTCGTTCATTCGAGCTCGTTAACCATCGTTAGCAGGACCAACGTTCTCTTGTCGGGGCAAAGCCGGCACGCGGCGCGCCGCAAAAACCGCGAAACGCACACGACAAAACTGTCCCGGAAACCGCAGCCTTACCGGCGCCACCGGCATCCCCTCCCCTCCCTCTCCTCTTCGTCCCCTGCGCCGCCCCTGCGAGGTCAGGTATTTCGTAGCGGCTCGTAATAGTAATTACGTTTAATGCTCGCAGGTTACTCGAGAAAGCCGCGCACTTGCCTTTTGCAGGTAGAAAGCGGAAAGGCTCCTCCTCTTCCTCTCTCTTCCTCTCTCTTTCTCATTGGGGTAATTTGAAAGAGAAGAAGACTTATTAACGCGCCACGGTAATAATTATACAACGTGTTATGAAGGTAAACGATCAAACTTTACACCAACATGATGCTCTGCGAGTACATCGATGAATTACCGAGAAATGATTTTTTCTTGAATTCCTGGATCTTGAAGTTTCGTAAAAAATAAATCCCTGAGAATTGAAATTTTTTTTATTTTGCTGTACAACTGATTCGAGAGATTCGAGAATGAAAAGGAGGGTTGATAGACACTCTCTCGTATCTGAAGAGACAGTTATTTTGAGTAACAATAAGTACCTCTTCCAGTCGACACGCTCAACTTGGGGCGGCACCCCGAGGGTGGATGTCGTCTCGTTTGCATCCTCGGAGGCTCGCAATCATTGTACCGCAAATTGCCCCGCAAACGTCGCGAGACGTCTCAGTAATCTCGCCGAGTCGTGTACTCGTGTCTGTTATGGAAGAGAGAAGTGAGATCGTAAAGTACACGAGCAATAATACACAGACGCGCAAATATCTAGGTGAAAGAGATAGAGACAGAAAGAGAGAAAGAAGGGACAGCGACAGAGATAATCTCTTGTCGAATTCTGCCTACTGTGGTTTACTCGTCGATAGCCTTTGATCTACTTTGCTGTTCATCGATGACGACAGAGAAAATCTTGATAATTTTAGCATCCTTAGCGAAAGTTTCCCCCACTGCTACTCTATAATGAGTCTAATATTAAATATCTTCATACTGAAACATCGATTTTTAATATGTCGTAAATTCTACTTCAAGTTGAATCGCCGAGAAGCATCAATGATGTACAACTTGAACACCTTTTATATATACTTCGGAGTATATTTATAAAAAAATGTATAAGCGCACACATAGCAATAAATATTTTTTTTACACTAAATGAGAAAGTTCGTGTATATAAATCATAATTTTAAGAATTATAATATTTATAATATTATAATGTTTCTTATATTATTATAAATATTACAACATAATTTAATTTAGTTCATAAATAATAATATATCATATAAATTTAATATTAAAAATAAAATATAATATCAAAATATATGATAGTTATATTTGAAATTTAATATTAAAAATATTTACATCATATTATATGTGTATTTATAATATTTTTGCAATATTTTTGTATTTATAATCATATTAATGATTAAGTGGACCAATTACTCAATTCCTGTTTAGATTTTTCGCAAATAAATAAAAATTAACTACCTCGTTTCAATCTTCAAAGTGTCTTCATTATAACAATTCATATTGCTCGAGAAGTTGCGTTCCTCGCCAATTATAATCAGATACTGCTTCTCGAGTATTTGGAGAATAGTCAAAGCACTATACAGAATACGCCACGACATAGTACCCTGGAGGGTTAATATCACGAGGATGGTTCATTACATCCCTATATATTTGAAAATCAGATTGGCAGCAAGATCATCTGGTGCGGGAAGGATGACGTCTCCTCCTTTGTCTAATATTTGCCAGGCATCGCGCGGAATATCCGTGGTCGGCGAGACCAGGAAATGATCTGGCGATGATCCAACCGGACTCGACGACCTTCCTCGGGATGTGCTTCGACCGATTTTATTATCGTTTCGAAACACGACGACGATTTATCCGAAAATTCACATGATCCACACTAGACGCGACAAGGTGGAGGAAAAATCGGCAAGAGTTTCTTTCGATTCGTGAAATTTGCCCGAGATATTCTACCTTCGAATCATACTTTCTGAAGGAATCGTCGATTGGATTCCAGAAACTGCTTGGAACGGATGCTTCCCGACTGTCGGGTCGTTACATACAAATGACGGATTTCGAAAGTCTCAGTTTTATGGATGGCTCTCATAAAAAAACAGAAAAAAACCGTTTTCCAATAATCAAATATTATATGTCATGTCAAAAACGACGTGACTCTTTTATACAAGTACGCTTCAGTTTGGACGAAACGTTTGCCGCTTTTTGACACACGGCAAATTCATGAAGAGAGAGAGAGAGAGTAACTTTTATAAATTATTTATAAAAAGATTGGAAATTCTAATAACATTAACCTGGATCGAATAGCAATTTTTTATATAAAATATTTTACTCTTGAAAGAAATTATATTCGCGCATGGAAAAAATAAATACTGAAGACTCACGTATTTAAATTACATATGAAAAGATAAAAATTCCAATAACATTAATCGAATAGAAGCAATTTTTTTTGTAAAAAAAAATTGAAAAAAATTAAATTAAAGATTATACGCGAGAAAAATGAATACTGAAAAATAATAAAAAGCATTCTTACGAGTTCATTCATTAATATTTGTTGAAATTTTATTTAAAAAATTGCAGAATGTAAATATAAATATTTCTATATAGATATAATCAGTGTACATTTAGAAATAACAGAGTTTCGCGAAATCATGTGAAAATATTTAGAAAAATATATTATTGATAGAACAAAATATGGAGGAAGATTTGATAGAGAATGCAAATTGCAGAGAAACACGCGGTTCATTTTATTCGAGACAGAAATAGAACGAGGTAGGATCCAGACACGGAATGTGGCTCGTTGATCGAGTCGCAATAAAAACAGACTCGCTCCAACAATCTCCCTGGTTTCGCGTGATCAAACGCGAGAAATAAATAAGCGAGTGCGGTGGGTGGATATTGGAACCGTGCAAGAGCAGGTTAACGACCGAGCATTACATCACGCATTCGGGTTCGAGTTTAAGGTCAAAGACTTTATTTGCCTCTCTCTCTCTCGCCTTCTTGGTCAACAAAATAAGTGCTGTAAAACGTACCAAGAGTGCTGCCACACCTAATAGCATTATCACGAGGGCGTTATCTGAGAAACGAGATTTACCGTAATCTCGATATCTATCTCGACGCGATGTAATTCGAAATTTTCTCCTCCCTCCCGCGAAAAGCGACGCGATGAATGATCCTCCGAATAGAATCCAATTATCTCACTTTTTGTCCACGATCGAGCCTGTAGCCCGACATGGCAAATGGTGCCCATTTTCGTGCCGCAAAAACGGAAACTTGGCGTCAGTCGCGAGAAATTTGATCGGAACTCACAAACTAGTGCGATACGCTAACTAAACTGTTAATCGAATGCAATTAGAAAGTCGCCCGTCATCCATTTTCGCGTGTCTCACCCCTTTACTTGAGTCGGTCGCGAAGTCCTGGGTGCGACTTTTTTCCGAGAAATCACGCTCTCTGAACGTGACAATCCCTTGTTTCACCCACAGTCGTAAAATGTTCTCTCGTATTTTTCTCGTAATTAATCAGTCGTAAAATGTGCTCTCGTAATTTTCTCGTAAATAACGAGCTCTATTTCAAATAATGAAAATACGCTTTTGTGCGAAGGAATTTTCTAAATTTTTTCCGGATCCAGATTCTGGATTTTAACGTTTATATAATTTTACAAGCTTTTTCTGTCGTTTCATTAGTTTCTCGTGTTTCCAGTTTTATATTTCGCGTTCGTATAATGATTTTTTTTCGTTCGCCGCTCGTGAAATATCACGAAATCTCCATCTCACGTGATCGAGATTGAAGACGTCACGTTTCGAACGAGCAACTTTACGAATTATCTCGCGCGCATGCTAATCTGCAAAGAATACAATATATGGAGGCATTAATTTAAGTCCCGATGTAAGATTGTGCCACACGAGTATATATATATCTTAAAACAAAGGAATGCAAACACGCAAATAACGTATACACGAAGAGCGGATTACAGCTTGACGTGCGCAATCGCGAAAATCTGTGCACGAATCACCGAAAATTACGGTGAAATTTTAATCAGGTCACACGAATTGTACGCAAAATATTTCGCTATCGCGTATATAAAATACTTGCACGTTTGTCCCAATCTTGATACACATTTGGAATTAATATTTCTCTTAATAATATGCGAATATTCTCATCTGCACCTAGGGATGAAGCATCACTTAAATTAAAAATATTTTCTAAAGAAAATATTTCTCTAAAAATTAATTAAAAATGTGTACATTTATTTTTATTATAATTTTCATTATAAAATATTTTATATCAAAATACATAAATTATAATAATAAATTTTACCACAAACCTAATTTATATTAATTAATTAATTAAATAATTAATTAATTATTTAAATAATTAATTAATTAATTAAATAATTAATTAATTAATATTACAATAACAAATATATCGTCATTTTATTATAGCTTGAAATCGCAATAATGTCTTTCTCACTCGTAAAAATAATTCATTCACAAGAGTTAATATTCATACATTTATATCTGACGTTAAAACTTGAAGAAGCATTAATTTATCATGCTCTACGTGCTTCTGTTTGCGCATCCTGCAAAAATATTTACTGAAATATTTAAGGACACTCGAAATATTTGTAACAATACGCATCTCTTTATTTTGCAGCTATGCAAGTACACGTATGCAAGTAAGTATATTTTTCCCGTCCAAAATGTACCAAAAGTGAAATACTTTCGTGTCGTGAAATTCAAAAATGCTCCGCAACACTGGCAAAATTCGCGAGACACAAGTTAATTCAGACATTTATTTATTCTCTTCACGTGTCTCCGGAGAGACAAGGTAGATAAATCAGTTTTTCGCAGCACGACGTGAAGCGATGCTGACTGGGCGAATATAAAATGTCGAAAAAATGCCTCGACATTTTCAAAGGTGCAGAAACATCGAAGATTCTACCCTCCTTCTATCACTTGGCTGGCAATTTTAATTAACCAGAAAAATAAAACTAGTAATTTTTTTCTTATTCATACGTGATATATTACACACGTCGTTCTTATTCATACGTGATATACGTATAGCTCCTCGTTTCCTCCAGGTAATTCAAGCACCTGTATTAAGAGCGACTCGCTTTTCTCCGGGAGCTCTCATTGATGTTTTCATTTCATTACCATCGTAACGGTAACGAACGAGTGCGATACTTCTTGCGTCTTATCTTTAATCCGACACTCTGCGATGCTAAACTGAGAAACGGAGCGAAATCCACCTCCCTGCCCCTTCCCTCGTCGTATCTCGCGTTTGCATAACATTAATGTCTAAGAGACTCGTTTCGGCGAATATATACGATGCCGTCTATCTTACTCGCGCGAGAAAGAAAATTTCGCATCTGCCTCTCATATTACACCTTGATATCTTTCACATTAACCTTGTGCATGGCGTTTTCTACGACATTGGGCAAAAATGCTGAAAGTGCTCTAAAAATAATTCTCCGATAACATTACCTATCAGCGTATCGGGTGAAACGTAGAAGAGAATAGCGTGCATATTTTACACGTGCACGGATCATTTACGAGCTCATTATTCGCGAATCTAGTACAATAATTTGATGAAAAACGTAAACAAATAATTTTTCGTTGAAAAAGAAATGTCAGCTTTATAAATTTTTCTCGAATATAAATCGCTGAAATTCCGTTTTCCTCGCAA